TGGTTTTTAAAATTGCTTGTATGTGCCAAAGCAGATGCAAACATTTGCACGAGTCCTGTATGTACTTCTATACATATACATATCTACATGTGTATGTAGAAGCAGCACCAGGAAAATCTTTTTTATACAACTGCAAGAATTCGGGGAAACAGTGAAGCTTTTAATTTGCTGGCAAAATTCTAACCAGTAAGACCTTTTAATGAGTGGTGTGTCTGCAGAAAATAAAAACGTGCGTGCATACATATGTACTAGGGATGTTGATTTTTTTTCGCTTCCCTGGGATCCCGGGATTTTCGGGATGTCGTTATCGTAACACCAGGATCCTGGGATTAGTCCCGGGATTTAGATATTTATTACTTTTCAATAACTTAAATCGTTAAAATTGCTTATATCTCTCCTACCATAAAATAAATAAACAATTAATAGTTTTGAAACCTACTTTTTTATTTAAAGTGGCGTTTTTATTTTTCTCTTTGACGTCAAGATTTATTTCAAAGGACTTTATAATTTCAACGATATTATTAGTTCCAAAAATTAATTGAAAAATTCAATGCAGTGTAGAATAAAAATATGGGTACCAAGTGAGAGTGGAAATTTCTGTAGAATTTAAAAAAATTAAAAATTTTTGCATTCCCAAGGATGAATAGGTAATTTTTCACGCTGATAAAGATAGAAGGACGAAATTCGAGGATGTTAACGAGTTTATATAAGTCCTTGCCATATAATGTTTTCAAAAACAAATATTGCGAAGTTTCAAGGATAAAACTTTAAAAGGATATTTTCAGTACTTGCCAGTCCCTGTGCACCAAAAAATTTAATCTGTTTGAAGTCTACAAAATTTCCTCTTTAATTTGATACCCATAAAAGAAAAAGTTCTCTAGGCTTATTTCCCTGAATTTTTTAAATTATTTTTGAATTACTGACGTCAGAGCGAAAAACTAAAAACGCAATTTCACTATATTTGGCCCATGGTTTTGTGAATTTATTGATTTTTGTGTGTAAAATTTACTATTGCACGGTGTTGTATGTATAATGAGCTAGGCAATTATAAAAAAATATTAATTATTAAATAAAAAAAAACAGAAATATAGCCAATACTGGTCAAGAAAAGGAGTTTCTATTATTGCCATCAGTGCAAATTACAAATTATTTGCCAAGAATCCTGGTATTTATGGGACATAAAAAAGGTCGGAATCCCGGGATTAACATTCCTAACATTTACATGTAGAAATATGCATACTATTTCCGTGCATGTAGACCCTGCAGGAAATGTATCTAACTAGAAGCAAAGTTGAAGTTAAATAGTAAGAATCTAAAGGTCACTATTTTTTATATATCGTCATTGATACTGCAAAATGGTCTAAGTCTATTAGTACCCTTGACACTTATATGTTCTCCTACTTGTATCGGAATGCATCTGCAAATCGTTACACCCTAATAAACCATTGACAAAAAAACTGTCTACCTTTGGCTGATGAAGATGAATGATTGCCAGAAGCGATCAGATACAGATAGCAGATCCATTAAGCACCAGAGGTAAGAAGTGACATAGAACGTTATGCAGTATCACCGACGATATGTATTTTCTTTTAGGAAAGCTTACTAAGGGTCGTTTTCTCAAGTAACCTGTAACTTTAGAGCTCACTTTATATTTAAAGGTTGCATTAAAATTTATGATGGTGTCCAAAGTAAAGCATTTTCTTGTCGGATTTAAATTGGTGTACAACCAAGAAACATACATACGTCAAAAACCGATAATAGAAATGCTTAACTTTAGACATAGCTTTATTTTTAATCCAACCTTTAAATATAAAGTGAGCCATAAAAGTATTTGTTAAGTGTAGAAAAAAAAGTGTATTCAAAGTAAAATTTGTTTGAGGATATTTAAATAGAAACTTGCATGACTTCTGCATTACTTTTCACTTAGTTTCAAGTTAGCTTTTTGTAGCTCACTAAATGTTATACATTTTATCGAAATCCCGCTAAAAACCTAACTACAAGTGGTTTACTTTTTTGCCACTTGATATTTTTTTTCCTACAGGGGACGTACACAAATGCATACAAGCACAAATACATATGTGCATACCAGTGTATGCGCCTAAATTTATGTAGTGTAACGCTGAAAAAAACTGAAAATGTCGGAATGCGGAAGAAACGAAAATTACCGAGTTGCCACTTACATACAATTTGTCACGCACACATGCCCTTTCAGGAGTTTCAATGTTTCAGGAAATAAAACACTGATTCTTCGCTAAATTTCCATTCTGGTCTTTACATTTACATGCACTTCTTATATCACTGTCATATCATTTTTAATTGTCTGTCTCATATAAAAATATCTGGCAGCGAGCTTAATGGTTGGTTTTATTTAACATTTGCACTGTGGAACGTGCTTTTTTGCAAAGTGATTACAAAAACGAGTATGTGCAAATAAGTTTTTATTACAATTACACTGATGATGTTCAACATATTATAACTGAGATTAAGTGCTGCCTTAGAGCTTGTAGTAGAGTTGGTTGTTCATGTTTTTCCAGCGAAATATATAAGTAAAAATGTATATTCAAAACATAGCCATCCTTGCGTTCTGATCAGTGTTGCCAGGTCACCGAAGTGACAAATCGTCAGTTTGGTTCTCAAAAATCGTCAGTTGCATGCAAAAGTCGGCAACATATAGAAACTTAAAATAAACCAGGTTTTTGGTTTTTTTTCTGATTGATGTACATAAAAAATAAGAAGTTAAAAGTTTTTACGAGTTTTTTAAATTCACATAAAAATTACTTAAAAAAATTATTTTCTTCGCATTTTCTTCTTCATTTTTAGATCATTAAGCCGGGCAGGCTGCACCAATCAATTTTAAATTTATCAGCCTGTTAAAATTTAAAATTACACAATTTTGTTCGAAAATTAAACAATTTAAATTTTAGCAGCCTGATAAATTTAAAAGTGATGAGTGGAACTTTGGATAACTCGTATGACATATGTTTTTGTCACAAAGTTTTTCGTGCTATATTTCATTTTTGAAACTTTTAAGTATATCGGTGTTTGGATAAAACTCAAAACAAGAACAACAATTTCCTTTTAATAAGTCCGTGTGAACAAAATTCCCTCAAGAGTTGAGTTTTCTTGCAAATCAGCATCTACTGGCTCGACAACTGAGGTAAAGAGAACATCAAATATTTGCAAACTGCAACTTTACCACGTGCATTAAAAACTGTTCATACTTACAAGTTTTGCTAAATAAATTATTCATAATTTCCTTCGCTCAATAAAATATGTATCCGTACACAACGCAAAAACTGTGAATTTGACCGCATAAACTGCACAAGTAGTGATGAAACAAAGACGAAAACTAAAACTACTTATCGACAACTAATGTTAGTGCTGCCATATGACATAATTTGTATACGACAATTGTGAATTAGCAGAAATGGTAAACAAGTGGTTACACTGCAATTTTTAGTTATCTGTGTAACAATCTTCAAAGTTCAGAATCAAACAAATTTGCACATCACTCAAAAAAAATCGTCAAATCGTCATAGCCGTAAAAAATCTTCAAATCGGCAACCTGGCTACACTGATTCCGATCAGTGTCAGACGATGGTTTCTAACTCTGTTAGGTCGAGGCCACGCAATAAGCGGCAAAGCGGCGAGCGGCTCGGTACTTTAATAGTATTTCGTAAGATACTACTTCCATATTATGGATAATCGGATACCCATAACCCTCTAGGTTAGGTTTATCTTTGTTTAAAAGTATCATATTCAAAGTATTGGGTTGTATTGTTTTTGGAAATCGATAATTTGATTTCAATATTGTAATCTTAAGAGAAGAAGAAAATAACCAAGGATCTTATTAAGCACATATGTACTATAAAACATTTTGAATAAATTAAATAAAGAAATGCAGGCTAAGCCGCGCAGGTATAAACAAAGGTTGCACTTGACGAAGGAGTTAGAAAACTAACATCGACCCTTACTAATGCTTACAATGCATCCTGCCCACTTTCGCGCAATAAGCATAGATCTAAACCTCCGTGGTGGAATATGGAGCTGGGATCACAATAATGAATTCTGCTGGGGGGAGCACAAAGGCTTACTGAAATCATATATGTACATAAAAAAGAAGTGCGAGGAGCAAAGAATAAATCCTGTGTGGACTTCTGTGAGAACTTAGAGGAAAAGGAAACAAACGTGGTGGACAGGCTTAAAAAATTTCTAACCAAGACTCCAGGCGCACCTAGCCTTATACGTAAGAGTTGCGGGGACTGGACCGATTCAAGCGAGGAGTCACTAGAAGACTTGGTCAGCACCCACTTTCCGAGATGGATGCACTCGACAGACCTCGATAGTGGTGGAGTTATAGCGAGTAGCTTCAAAATCTAAAAAAAACAGAAATTGCGCAATAAAGTTGCTTACTTTACAATTGAGGCGGGTATTGTGGCATCGAAGCCACTTAATGGAAATTGCTCGATTCGCAAGTCACAATACCAGCCATGAATTGCTAGTGATGAGCAAGTGATTATCAAAATGTTGTTCTATGTGAAATACCGTTCATCCAATATTGCCCCACATTCATGATAAAGTGAACCATTTGGTTAAAAGAAATTTTTCGCCGAATATTCATGCTAAGGCTGATAATCGTCAAAACTTTCGCGTAGAACATGATGCTCTTTCACCAAAAATAACACTGCCAACTTAATTGTTGCTCGAATACACCCTAATACATCCAAAAAATTTATTTATGCTTCCATAATACCGTTGCAGTTTGCCAAACTTTGAAATCAATACTCTCACCTAGAAATGCTCTCCAAATCGAAACTAAATTTTCTAGAAAATATACATACATATTTTTACTTTTATTTACATACAAACTTTACAATTAGTAGTCGCCTTAAAAAGTGCGTACTGCAGACTCTTCACGAACCACATATGTATAAGTGACCTAATAATTCATCGCAAATATTTTCATTTTCCCCGAAATTTGTCAAATAGATGCGCCACCACTAGACTCTGCAACTTCGCCTCTTTTTCCTTCGACATGCACGGCGCCTCGGTCGTCGTTTCATGGCGCAACTCATCTTTGGCCGCCTTTTGCGTCCACATTTAGCCATTCGCCTCTTGCGGCGTTTTTTACAACCAGCATTTGCCCTAGGGCACACAGGGCCGCAGTCTTTCGCATATGACACCACCCGCATTTGTGTCGGCTTTATCAATTGCTGCTGCTGTTGCTGCTGCCGCTGCTGCTGCTGCTGCAGCTGCTGCTGCTGCTGCCACTGCTGCTGCTGCTGCTGCTGCTGCTTATGTGGCGGCGGTTGCGGTAGTTTTCTTTTCTTGGGTGCATAAAAAGCCTAAGGTAAATACTTAAGATTGAACATCATTGACAGCGCAAAAAATTCTCATACTAACCTCTTCAATATACCGCAATTTGCTCTCTTTTGCCATATTATTCCATTCCTTAGCGCCGCGTCGTATGATTTCCACAGCTGAGAGACCACAATTGCGTTGACGAAATTCGCGTAGAAAATTCAAATATGGATTGCGATGAAGCGGTCCCCTAGGACGTTGGCATTTACCAGCCTTCGTTTGGTTAAATGCTGTCTTCGACACGCAATTCGTCTTCGACGTGGAACGCAACGACAACTTTTTCTCAACCTCCATCTTTGGATAACCTATTTTGCAAGCAATTTTTTGCGATGGGACGCACGAATTTAGATTTAGATAGATAAAATAAATTCTTTGTTTGGTAAATACGTTTAATTTTTTAACAATTAATAAATTTTAATCTTTTTCACTTAAATTTGTTGTTATTGAAAAAAAAATCTATGAACTTGAAAAATGTAAGAAAATATTGAAATGATTTTCAAATCTCGTGATTTTAGTGATTTTCCAAAATAAGGTGTCAAATTAAAACTCTTGGACAGCAGCAAGGCGAATATATATATACTTGTATATATATATATATATATATATATATAAGGCGAATTTGCCTTGGACAGCAGATATGCAATAAGGTTATACTTTTTTGAATAGAGTTGCCACCTTTTAAAAATTTTAATTCAAATTATCTTAAAAAAATCCATTATTTCCAAAAGGGTATCAGCGGAAAGGGTTTTGAAAATATTTGTTTCTTAACTTAACCTAATTAGGGTTGCCACCTGTTCAAAAACTAATTTCAATTTGAATTAAGAAAATTAATTAGGAGAAATATGTTTCAACATATGGGCGCATAACGAAAGGGGCTTCAGAAAGTGGCCGTTTGAATATATTTTGAAGAGGGTTGCCACCTTCTTGCAATGTCGAATTTAAATAACTTATCCAGAAGTTATATGAAATGTTAAAATAATGATGTGAAACGAACGAATATTAAGAAGACTTTAGTTTGAAGACACAAAACATTTTTGGAGTGTTGGAAGAGGGTTACCACCTGTTTAAAATTAAATTAGAACAAGTTAAATGACTTATTAAAATATGAGTATCAATCGAAGGGGGGTTGAAAAATCTTTATTTCTGAACTATATTTAGCGGAGTTGCCACATGTTTAACTAATATAATTCAACTTAATTCATCAGTTAGTTAAAATATGTATCGCAATGTAAGACGAAGAATATTTAAGAATATCTTAGCGCGAAACTACTTTTCAAAAGGGCTGCCACCTGTTTAGAAGGTCGAATTTAATTATATCTATATATATAATACGCGAAAGGACCTTTTGTCCAGGTCATCAGACCTGATTCATTCGTTTGATTTTCAAAAATGAGGTGTCAAATTAAAAGGCTTGGATGCAGATGTGCAATGAGGTTTTACTTTTTGCCATAGGTATCAGTCGAAATGGTTATTAAAAGCTTATTTATGTATTTACAGATAGGTAAATGTTTCAGTACTTTTCTCCATGAGTATGGGATTGATACCATATCAAGTTCCAGGACTCTACCACAAATACTTCCAGAGATATGCGGTATGAAAAATTCGATTGGATGGGAGATGCCACGATCCCTTGATATAACGAAATTATTAGCAGCCTATAACCAAAAGGTGTCCTCAATTTCAAAGAAATCGGTACAGCCGTTTGCAAGATCACCTCTTATAAAAATAGGGGACTTCTCTTTACATATATATAATTGGTATAGATAATGAATATACGTAAATAGCCAATACCCGATTGCTTTGCGGCACCTTAAAACACCTTTCCAACTGTAAAACAATCGTTCAATTCTATTCTATGAATTTCTAGAAAAACTGATCATATGTACAATTTTTTCGAATAGATCGGTCCCTGGATCAGACCAGTCATTCGCAAGATTACCTGTTGCAAAAAGAAAGGGACTTCTCTTTATATAATTAGTATAGATTGGCTGGCGAAATTAAAACAAGAATAAAAGAAAAAGGTTGTTAATGAAAAGAAAATCAAAGAAAAGTATTTTTTTCTTTTTTGTAGCAAAACTGTAAATAAAGGATGTAAGAAATTTCAACGAAAACACTAACAGCCGCTGTGAACAGCCTTCAGCCTACAATCGCAAAACTCGTTTTCAAAGTGTTTTCGTTGTCGGTCAGAACATGGTATTACAGATCTGGGGGATGTGTTAAAGGACAAAAGAGGTAATAGTTAATTCAGCTCAGACGACTCTTTTATCAATAATATTTTGCACAAAAGTTATACTTTAAATTTTTCTTCTGTTCAAAAGGTTCTCTAGGTTCAGGATATAGCATAGAATCATATTTAAGAACACCTTTGACGAAGAGCAATTTTAGTAATTTTTTTCGGAAATAGCTTCAACCTAAACATAGAACCATCAACATTTTTACAAACGACTTAAAATGGTTAAAAGAGAGAGAGTCAGGCGGCAATTAAGGCAGTTGCCCCAAAAAGTATTTCATCCAAAAACGTCCTTCGTAGCTGGGAAGCCATTGATAGGCTGACCTTAAACAGAAGGCTGCAATGAATAGAGGGTATAAAATAGTTGGCGTGACTGCCAAGAGCGCTACCAGTCTGATGTTCAAACAGGCAAAGTGCATTCATAGGATAGTCGCATAACGTGACAAAAAGCCAACTCTTAAGACAAACAAAAAAAAAACGTACAAAAAACGCTGAAGAAATGGAAAAAAAATTACTACGAAATTATTTTCGTCCGTTTACAGCTCTCTAGATAAAAAATGCTCCTATATTTACATACATATTTTTTCAATTGAGGGAAATAATGAACAATATTTCTTGCAATTTTTCATGAGCTGGAAGCTAAGCTTAAAATCGCGTTGTAAAATAGGAAAATTGGGATGTGGAATTTCGCCCTTATTAAAAAAAAAAAGATTAATAGTGAAAATTTACAAAAAAAAAACTCACGCGAATTTTTATTTCCGATTTTCGCTTACGACGATTTTTTTATTAAAAAAAAAACATAATTTACGCATAGTAAAAATTTTAAATAAAAAAATATTCAAAAATATTTTATACATACATACAAATTGCAAATCAAAAATCGCACGATTTAAAATATGTATTATTTTATATTAAAAAAATACAATATCCAAATTTTTCCACGGTTAATATCATTGATTTTTGATAAGTTTTTTTCGCTGACGGTGTCATGCATTTTCTTTCAGTATCTATGTTCAACAATTTTTATTCGTGTGGAAGAATATAATAACACTATCTGCAAAAAACGACCAAAAAATCAAGGCGAATTCTTAGCAACATGAAACTTGCACTTTCTTAAGCTAGAATTTAATGGACCATAAAACTGCATACTAAGTTTTTGTTTAAAAATTAAAAAAAAAAATTTTGTTGTTAAGTTTGTTCTTGTAAAATTTTTATAATATTTCTATAAAGTTTGAAATTTGGACTTACATATATGGTCTTTGTTTGATAATGAGTTGTATTTTTATAAAAAAATATAAAACATTAAACAAGCAAAAGAAAAATAGCCAAAACTGGTCAAAATGCCGTGTCACTATTATTTTCCACATGACTGTAGGTTTGGCCGCCCTAATACTAGGTATAAACTTTAGCTTTTTGACTCACAAAACAGAAAGCCTAAATAAAATACTTTAATTTTTCTCAACAGCCGAGGTGAATTTTTTTTTGGCTCTAAAGTGTTCAGCACTTTGGGGAAAAATGTCATGACTTTGAGCAAAAAAAAAGCCAAATTTATCAGCACTAAACTAGTAACGGAATTAAAGTTGTATGAAAAGAAACAAATCAAAATTCCGCAGAAGTCTCATCACACAAGAGTAAGGACAATGCACAAAAGGAAGGACGAAGAAGAATAGTAACAGTGGAGGACTTTTTTTTTTTGTCGCTCCGCCATTATCTGGCAGACAAAAATATTGCGGTAGTCCGCATAAAGTGAAATGTATTTATTTGCCGAAAGACTGGACCGGGGATACAAACAGCGATGCGACGCAAACTGCCGCACGTAGCCACAGTTGCGAAAGCTATCCCACATACTCAGGATTTCAAGCGCGTTTTGAATATCAACAAATGGGAAGGGCGAGCTACATATACATATGTATACTACTCAGCTGATGTGCTTTTTCTTATCAACTTTTGCATGTACATATGTGTGTGTGTGTCTGCATCTGACAGTGAAGTTGGCGAAGGACTTCTGCAGAATGGCGGCTGGATGCGTTGCAAGTTATTCATGACTTTGACGCTGAATTACGACTGCAATAAGATGCGTCTTTGCATTCAGTTTTTATGAATTAACTGCTACTTTTTTGCACACCCAAACCTATGTGGGTAGGTGTGGGTGTGTGTGCTTACAAAAGTATACATGTTCATACATATATGGCAGAAGAATGTTGATATGTTTCGCGATAGTTTAGCTACTGGCTTTTAGAAAAAAAATTTACAAAAGGCATCAACCGTAATCTTTTAGACAAATTATATTACATGCAGCAGCAGTTCACGGAATCTTTTAAGCTTCATGAAAAAGTGTATTATTATTATTATTATTATACAAAATTTAATATATTTATTTATTTTGGATGCACTTTTTTTTTAATATTTGTGTTGCCACGCTTTATTTAAAGATTACTTAAATATCTTAGTAAAAATAAAACACAGCAAAAAATAAAGCTATAAAAAGGCCGATTCTGATAAAAATGAAAAGCGCCAAATGCATGGGATAACAGTGAACCCAATGGAAATCCAATAAGCGTTAATTAACATTGTAATTTACCTCCCTTGTAGCCAATTAAATTACAGTAATAAAAGTGCAAGTATCAGGACGCTAAAAACTCGCTTTGATTTTTATTAATTCTTTAGGGGAAGGAAAATCCTACCGACCAAAATTTGGACTATGAAAATTTAAATTTTTGCATTGTGTACTTCTAATAGACTGTATAGAAAAAGGGTTCAAAAGATGTACATGATTTCAAGCGTATTTATTTTATGTCAGCATTTCTAGGGGAAAGTCTATATAGTCAAAATAGAATAGAAGTGATATATCTATGTTAGTTATGGTCCAAGCTGGTTTATTTTTATACCCGAGCGCACTTGTGCACCGCGTGCTGAATTTTTTTTTTTAAATTCGTAGCTAAATTTTTTTGTAATGTTTCTATAAAAATACCGTCTAAACTTTAATTAAAATCACATAAACACTGTTTCACACTTTATACAAAATTTTGGAGAATTCAAAAAATTTTCATCAAAATTTCAACTTTTTACTCTGAATTTTTAAAACATTTTTGGGCAATCACAGTTTCAGATTTTATATAAAATTTAGAAAAATTTAACAAATTTTATTCAAAATTTCAACTCTTTACTCTGAATCTTTAGAACGTTTTTGGGCATGCAGTTTTATAGTCCATAAATTTTTAGTGAAATGAAGTACATGAAACGGATAAAAAATCCCGTTAATTTTTG